CCCCCCCCCCCCCCCCCCGTTAAGAATTAGAGATTTTTCAGAAGCTGAGCCTGTGGGTAATTGCAGAGCTCCCTGCCCCCATTCACGTTTCTCACGCAATGGATTGGTTCTGACTCCGGGAGCATTTGGAGAGGCGAGGTAAAGAGCTAACGTGCTATGTGCTCTCCAAAGGCCGCTAACACATTTACCCATGCCCACTAACATGGCCTTTTTTATCAGGAACTGTCTAAACATAATCTTATTGCAACTAATATTTAGATTCTTGGAATCTATAACAGCTCTAGGGATTTCCTGCTGGTCTGAATGAGACAACCTATGTTTCTGTGTGTTTGCCCAGAGAAGAATTGCTAGTGCAGATGATAGAAAATTGTCCAGCAATGCACAGGGAACCTGTGTTAGGTCATTGTCACTCCTAACGCCCATACCTGTGGGACTAGATTGCACCGGAAGTAAAAGCCATAGAGGCTAGTGGGAAGTAGCTTCCAGTCCCTGAGGTGAAGCGGGCTAATTCTTCTCCTGGGAACTGCATATCTCCAGGTGCTCAGGACATTGGTCCTTTTCTCTGGTGGCAAGTGTAAATTGCTTGCAAACCTTCCGAATTGATTTCGTTGACTTGGTTTATCAGGCTGGTCATCCTCGCCCCTCAGTGGGTTGGGCCTCAAGGGAGGTTTAACTGAGATTCTGGGTTCCTCCTCTTCTGTTTCCCTCTCTGGTCAGCTCCCTCCTTGTCTTGAATTCTGTTACCCCATGCTCCAACTTTGTTTACTTGTTATTATAATTGTTTTATTTCCACCTGCTTGCCTTCAACAGTGTCGAGTAGACCCTAGGAGAGGGGCCTAAGCATTTCAGCTGGTGTTCCTCTAACCTGTCATCTGTCAGCATGTAGGTTTGTTCTTCATAACCTGTGGGTAGATCAGACCTTCATAAACAGCCACTGTTGCCTAGCAACAGGGATACAGTCTGAGAAGTGTGTTCTTAGATGAGTTTCTCATTACAAGCAGCATGGAAAACACTTACCCAAACTAAGACATAGTTATGTTGCTGTTAAACAGTGTAATCTTATGCCCCATCCTACACGAGGAACCTCTTTAACAAGGTGTTATCATGCGACGTATTACTGCATACTTAGTAAACACAATTAGTGAATTTTATTTCACAGATTTAAAATGAAAACACTGAAACAGAATTCTGACCTGCTGTATATTCTTTTTTATTTTTATTTTTAATTGATTTTTATTGAGTTCTATGTTTTTCTCTGCTCCCCTCTCTGCCTCTCCCCTCCCCCTTCAACCCTCCCCCTAAGGTCCCCATACTCCCAATTTACTCAGGAGATCTTGTTTTTTCTGCTTCCCATGTAGATTAGATCTATGTATGTCTCTCTTAGGGTCCTCATTGTTGTCTGGGTTCTCTGGGATTGTGATTTGTAGGCTGTTTTTCTTTGCTTTATGTTTAAAAACCACCTATGAGTGAGTACATATGTCTTTCTGGCTATATATTCTTAAAATCATACCTATTCTTGAAGTCTCAATTCTAGACGCCCCAGTTGTTTTGTACCACCCCAGTAACCCACGTTAGTCTTCTCTGCTTGCCTTCCTATGGTGGACACTGTCCAGCTTGGCAGGTGATGTAGACACGTGTATTTGTTATTTAGTTGCTTGGTGCATCTGTGAGTCACATGACCAGTGAGATGGTAAAGTGCCAGCTGATGTGGCAATGTCTCCTCGAGCTTTTCAGTTTAAAAAGTGTTGCTTTAAAATACCTTTACATCTTTATCCGTTGCTAATGGAACTTTGCGTGTCTTCTTTAATGTAGTTTAGAATACTTGAGTGAGGCAGATAGCTCGGTAGAGTGTGTGCCTAGCATGGGTGATGGCCTGGGCTTGTTTTTACTAAGTGTACTTACCGCCACCAATAATTAAGACAACCCCTGCAGTTTTGTTTACAGGTTTTGTATTTAAGAACAGGATCACTATTTTCAACATGTTATTATTTATATCTTTCCCAGTGATCCGACAACTGATGTGTTTGTGTTCTGGTGTGTGATGACTGTCGTTTCCGGTAGCTTCTCTGTGAAAGGCATAGGGACTGTGCTGCCTTTGAAGCTTCTTAGGCTGGGCTGTGTCTTCAGAGCCGGTCCCTTCCAGTCATTTCCATACTTTATGTAGAAAATTCTCAAAGACTTGTTTGTCAGACTATAATGCTTTAATAGCTATAATTGTCTAAAGTTCCTAATTACATGTTGAGCTTTCTAATGCCTGTCAGCGCTGCTGCTTCCGGGCAACACTTAAATATCATGCAGGCCAATCTCTAGTGCTGTGATAGAATTAAATTCATCCGACCTGGTTTCTGGGCCTATTTCAGACACCAGCCTGATACTTATCGTGAAACCACAAGAATATTTCAATTTAAAAACTGACCTTTGGGGACCTGGCTCTTTGGTCCTCCAGTTGTACTTACCAAGTACACTTTAGAAAGCAGCCTGACTTTATGAATGCGATTTCAAAATGTAATGATACAAAAATGTTTGTAGGGCAAAATGTCCTTAAAACTGACATTCTCTTTCTTTATAGAGATACTTCCTAGTCGGGAGCAATCATGCAGAAACGAAGTATCGCGTCTTGAAAATTGATAGAACGGAGCCGAAAGATTTGGTCATAATTGATGACAGGGTGAGTAGCCGCCCTCGCTGCCCACAGGAGCGTGTGCTGGGCTTTTTCTTTTAAGTCACACATCTATATTCTCTAGCTTGGCTTCTAGAAATTACTGATGTTGAGAAATTAGGCAGAATTATAGTTTGTCTCTCAGATTGATTTGTTTCTGAGAGCACACACTTCCCAGTGAGGCAATGAGTGCATTTTCTTAAGCAACTGACCTTTGAGGATTCAGTGTAACTTCATATCGCATCTACTGGAGAGTGTGTGTACTGTGCTTCAGGAGGACGCCAAGCAGTCATTGAGACGTCTGTGCTGCCAACTTTTATTATGTGGATGGAAGTCCCATGGGATGGTTTGCTGTGCACTCAGAAATGGCAAGCAATTGTTATTCAGGCTTGGGAGGGCAGAGGCTTAATTCAGCTAATACAGGAGCCTGAGTCTGTTAGTCAGAGGTACAAGATAATGTAGTGGTTAATTTTAGTTTTTCCAAATGAGGGAACTTACTCTTTGTGTCGAAGTTCCTGGCTAAATTTCTGAGCCCATATAGGCTTCTTTTTTGTCAGGTACTTTGGTAGTTATAGTTTGGAATCATTGTTATTAAACTCTTTGCAGAAATATTCTGTGTTCCCACAACTATCGATAAATTCATTTTTAGGGATTTTGATTTCCTGCACTGCTCCTCTGAGTCCATGGCCCGGGACCCGCCTCGTAGCTTTTATTAATATGATGAAGTGGTTCTTGGTTTCATTTGGGGGTGGGGATGGTGGATTGGGGAGACCTTTGAGATATTGATAGTTATGGGCCATCTCATACGAACACACATCTAGCTGAGGGTTTACATGTCATTTTAAGGGGTTCACAGATTTACTAAAATAGGTGGATCTCTTTAATCCCTGAATCCCAGGATCAGAGTCTAAAGTCCTGACATAATTTCTGAAGCTAGTGGTGAGATCCAGGCGCCAGTCTTAACTGTCCAGTTACGGAACCTGCGGCCTTGTTACAGTGGTGATGTAGTTCATGAGATCACTGACGAGTCTTGCAGGCAACCTGCAGTTTTCAGAGGCGCATAACTCTGCAGAGAGGCAAGCGCAGCCTGACAGGTCCTGTGCTGACTTCACAGCACGTGTACACTCAGCAAGAAGTGCGGGAGCTCCTTGGCCGCTTGGACCTCGGAAACAGAACAAAGACGGGCCAGAAAGGATCCTCTGGGTTGTTTCGGGCTGTCTCAGCATTTGGCATTGTCGGTAAGCATTGTGCCTCCTTCCCTCCCTTCCCTGTTTGTTTTGATACAGATTAAAGAGAGCTTATGCAACTCGATGGCGGTATAGTCTTAACACATCACCTATGGCTTTGACTGCTTTAAGCATCATTATCAACCAATTGGACCACATTTGAACAGTATCTGCTCTTGTGCTCAGCACTGTTCAGGTTTCTTTAGACACTAGTGAGTCGAGAAATGCTTGCAGGAATCTGCTGTCTGGCTTGGCATGATTCGAAAAGTAAAAATGATCTTGATTATAAATACCTGTCCCACTGCCCATCAACTAGAGTTACAGATATAGTAAAACTTGGTGTAAAATGAACAAGAATTTCCCCCAAGAACATGCTATAGTATAGCCTGTCACAGACCCTTTCTTTGGATGATGTCTTAGATTTTCTATTGCCGTGATAATACCATGATCACAAGCACCTTGGGGAGGAGATGGGCTAGTTAGCTCATGGCTGTCGTCCATCATCCAAACTGGGTGTGGTCATCATCCAGCAGTCAGGGCAGGAACTCAAGGCAGGAACCTAGAGACAGGAACTCAAGGCAGGAACCTAGA